TCATATTCCACATGTGTTCTATGGGGTTTAAATCAGGGCTACGTGCAGGCCATTCCATTCTGCTGATATCCAAATCATCCAGGTATTGGGACACTATGCGCGCTGTATGGGAACGTGCATTATGAATAAGAAGTTGTCACCAATAAATAGGCCGAAGAAAACCACGTGTTCAGCCAAAATTTCTTCAATATACCGATCCGCATTGAGATTGCCGTTGATAAAGCAAAGCTCCGTACGTGCTTCGAAGCACATTCTCCCCCAAACCATTACAGATCCTCCCTGGTATTGTACTCTTTCAGAGAAATTGCACTGAGCATAACGCTCTCCTGCTCTTCTCCAAACTCTCTCTCGACCAGCTGGAGAGTACAAACCGAATTTGGACTCGTCTGAGAACAATACGTTTTGACACTCTGTATTGGTCCATTGAACTTGATCTCGTGCAAATTGTAATCGAGCAACACAATGTTCTCGAAGCAACTGTGGTCCAGTTGCTGGTCTCTGCGATCTCAACCCCGCTTCTTCAAATCTCTTTCTTACTGTGCGTTCACTCACGTTCACCCGACGTACTTGCTCCAAACGATTTCTTACCTCAACTGCTGTGGTATGTCGATTTCGTAACACGGTCGTTACGATATATCGATCATCACGGGGTTGTGTGGTGTGTCTTCTTCCTGACCCAGTTCGTCTGATGAAAGTGCCAGTCTGCCGAAATCTTTGAATGGCGCGAAAAACCGTACTCTCTATCGCCATCTTCCACCAAAGCCACTGCCTGAGCAACTTCTGCAAGACTTAAAGGCATTTTTCTTGTTTAGCAACAGTCAACGACTTTAACGACACTAAACGTCACTGGAATGTTTTCGTCAATTTCCATGACTTCCTTTAATTTCTGATGGCACTGCCGAACAAGCTGTGTTATTTTTTAAAGCTTGTATTTTTGGTGTTAACAACAATAGAAACTTGAACAAAAAACAGAAGTGATCAGAACAGACTAGACTACAAGCTCCTTATGATTAAAATTATTTTCTTTTGTCGGTGCATCCCACAGCAAGCTTCAAAGTGTAGGGAGAAAAGACGCATTAGCGTTATTCACCATTGCTGAAATTAAAAAGCGCCAAAATGGGGAAGGCGTCTACAGAAATATTGGCAAAGGATAGACCTTCCACATAAAAAAAAACATTATAATCGAGGAATACGTTCAGTCATTACAGTTTGAAACCGGTCATGATTTTAGGTGATGCGTTTTTTATGCCGCTGAGTGTAGTTTATGGTTAATTGTGGATGTTACAATTTTGCTACCTCTTTGGCGCACAGACACCCCCAAACCACCACTGCACCACCTCCATGTTTTACGGTAGCTTTTAAGTTTTGAGGATCAAGAGCAGAAGATGCAAAATTTACTCTAATCTGTAAAAAGAACCTTCTCCCAGAACTCGATAGGCTTATTTAGGTGTTCTTTAGCAAAGGCGATCCGCTTCTGTCGATTGACATCTGGTACAAATGGATTTTTTTTCGGGGAACGTAACTGTGGTAGTTGGCCTTTGATAATATTCTTCTCACTGTATCTTTGCCGATAGTCTTATGAAACTGCTGTAGTACATGTTCTGCTATTTTCGTTGCTGTCAGCATAGGTTCTTTTCGTACCTGCTGCACAATGCTTCGCTCCTCTCTGTATGTAAGAAGGAACATAATTAACATTACAAAAATCGTTTTTTCTCTAACTTTAATTTCTTTTCCTCTCGTCTCCATTCTAACTCTAGCTTCCAATTTTCTACTAATGCATGAAATCTACTGTTTTGTTATTAAAACCGGAAAGCGTACATAACCTATAAACTATGCTCTGTACGCAGATTTTTGCATAGGCATTATTTGAAGTATTTTTAGTTTAGATTTTTTATTATTAAGTAATGTTTATATTTTACTGATTTATATTTTGTTAATAAAGTAGCTATTTTAAGTACAGAACGATTTTAGAGAAAAGAATCAAGCTTTCAAATGGTGCATTTAGTTTTTCGCTATCTTTAATAATAAGGAAGATATCGGCTAAGAAAGGAGATAGGAAATTACAAAAGTTTGATATCATAAAAAGGTAAAAGTTTGTTGCTGGAAAGTTTGTTATCATCGTCTCGCGGGTGAATTAAATTGTGAATCTAATGCTGCAAATAACTTTTTGATACTTCGATTTGTTCCTGAGAAATAAGTTCATAGAAATAACCTAAAAAATACGATTTTTAGTTGATTTTGTTGTAAATTTGTTTTCAAAATTTATTTCTCTCTAATTATTAAAGATAGAGAAACTAAATATTGTTGACTTATTCAGAATCAGATTCCAAATCTAACGCAGAAAACCGCGTTTTGATATGTCGATTTGTTAATAAGTAATAAATTCCCGAATACAACTTATGAAAGTTCCTACTTAAGTTGTCGCTTTGCTATCTATTTACCGGAGGTACGTAAAAATACTATTACCAAAAATGGTTGCAAATTCAATTGTAAACAAGTTTTATTTGAAACATTTTTTGATAAAAACAATAGTTATTGATTTAATCTAAAAATGTTCTTTTTATACTAGTATATGTATAGCGCCAACTGGAGGAGATATTGAAATGATTTATTAATAATATCATTTTTGAATCTTATTCTAAATAAATATTGTAGGAAATGTTTTTCGAGAAAAGCAATAATACTCCATCAATTACAGTTATTGTGATTTTTTAATTTAATTTTTGGTGTTTTGTTATAGAGTTGTTTTCAAAAATGTATTTCTCACTAACGCTATTGTTGTGACAATAATTTCGCGATACACTTCTTCGCCGATTATAGTAATGAAGCCGAGGTCACTTGCGGTCGAGTTCTCGATCAAGTTATATTTTTAAGGACCTTGATTATAGTACACTTTCAATGTACTTTCAAAGCAATCCATTGATTCTTACGCAATGGTTTGACTTTACATAATGGTTTGATCCATATTTGTCTCAAAAGAGTACTACTATTATTATTTTTTTATCAAATATTTTTATATAAACTTATTAATTGTTATACACGATCCGAAAGAGGATAACTTCAGCTTTAATTTGAGATATGAATCAATTCTTTATTGTCATAAATAAGGAAATTTTGATTTTTTTTAATTAACTGTTTTAATAGTTTTCAAATTGTCTAATAAACCGTCGCATTTATTAACTTTTTTCTCAAAATTATTTTATATAAACTTATTAATTGTTATATACGCTTCGAAAGAGGACACCTTCAGCTTTAATTTGAGATATGAATCAATTCTTTATTATAACAAATAAGGAAGATTTGATTTTTTGAAAATTAACTGTTTTTAATCGTTTTCAAATTATCTAATAAACTCTGTCGCATTTATTAATGTTTTTCTCAAAATTTTTTTATATCAACTTAACAAGTCTTATACACGATTCGAAAAAGGACATCTTCAGCTTTAATTTGAGATATGAATCAATTATTTATTATAACAAATAAAAAAGATTTGATTCTTAGAAAATGAACTGTTTTTAATAGTTTTCAAATTGTCTAATAAACTCCGTCGCATTTATTAACTTTTTTCTCAAAATTTTTTTATATAAACTTATTAATTGTTATAAATGTTTCGAAAGAGGACATCTTCAGCTTTAATTTGAGACATGAATCAATTCTTTATTATAACAAATAAAAAAGATTTGATTCTTTGAAAATTAACTGTTTTTAATCGTTTTTAAATTATCTAATAAACTCCGTCGCATTTATTAATGTTTTCTTCAAAATTTTTTTATATAAACTTATCAAGTCTTATACACGATTCGAAAGAGGACATCTTCAGCTATAATTTGACACTTGAGTTAATTCTTTATTGTTATAAATAAGGAAGATTTGATTCTTTAAAAATTAACTGTTTTTAATCGAATTCAAGTTGTCTAATAAACTCCGTCGCGTTTATCAACATTTTTCTCAAAACTTTTTTATATAATTTTATTAATTGTTATATACGCTTCGAAAGAGGACATCTTCAGCTTGAATTTGAGACATGAATCAATTCTTCATTATCATAAATAAGGAAGATTTTATTTTTTTTAAATTAACTGCTTTTAATCGTTTTCAAGTTGTCGAATAAACTCCGTCGCATTTATTAACTTTTTCTCAAAACTTTTTTATATAAACTTATTAATTGTTATATACGCTTCGAAAGAGGACATCTTCAACTTTAATTTGAGACTTGAATCAATTCTTTATTATCATAGATAAGGAAATTAGATTTTTTTTTAAATTAACTGTTTTTAATCGTTTTTAAATTGTCTAATAAACTCCGTAGCATTTATTAATTTTTTTCTCAAAACTTTTTTATATAAACTTATTAATTGTTTGTTATACACGTTTCGAAAGAGAACATCTTCAGCTTTAATTTGAAACATGAATCAATCCTTTATTATCACAAATAAGGAAGATTTGATATTTTTTAAATTAAGTCTTTATTTTTTGGTTTTTTTTGTCTTATAAACTTAATTAATTTTTTCTGAATCTTACTTTCTTTGTTATCTAACGCCAATAACAATCAATAACAAACCTCAATTTAAAAATAATTAACAAATCAATAAACTTATTTCGCTACGTTTTTTATGAACGTTAATTTTGGTGAAATCACTTCTTAATTTTACCACAACATAACAATTTTTGCCGCCAAAAAAAACTTAACTCCAAACGACCTTGCAACAACTCTTTTTTCCCATCAAAAACCCATTACACAACGCTTCACCTCATTTTCCTACACCTTTTACTTGAGGCCCCCATCGCAATCGCATTCTAAAGAAAGTGAACCCGACGTCTTCTTCAGTTAGTTTTTTTTTTTAATTTATGTTTCCTCTCTTTCTTCCCTTTTTCCTTATTCTTTTTAGGCGCGCCCCCCTACGATAATGAATGACCCGGTAACATCTTCTTTTCGCCCCCCTACACATTATAGAGGAAGATTAGTTTCCCCCGAAAAGTAGTGAAGGTATAAATAACTCGAGGATCGTCTTCACAACTTCAGAGTCAAGGTGTTTTGTGAGTTAATCGGGTTTTAACTTTGACGATAATGAGGATTGTGGCGGTAAATGATTTTTATTAATTTTTTTTTTGATTTAATAAATTTTGTTGTAGGTTATTCCGATTGTTATGGTGGTTATTAGTCAGGTTAAAGCTAGACCAGAACCTCCAGGTTACAGTTATAGTGCCCCAAGTGGTCCCGTTTCCAGTTATAACCCCCCGAGTACTAATTACGGCGCCCCAGCCCCAAAATACGGACCCCCGGCTCAACCCCCAACCGTCCATAAACACGTTTACGTCCACGTCCCACCTCCAGAACCAGAATATCATGCCCCAAGAAAACCAATCGAATTCGCCCCCGCTCAAAAACATTACAAAATCATCTTTATTAAGGTAAAAATTCCCAAAACATTCTTTTTAGGCATTAAATTAATTCAATTGTGTTTAGGCACCAACCGCTCCAACTCCAACAGCTCCAGTAATTCCAGTTCAACCACAAAACGAAGAGAAGACTTTGGTTTATGTGTTGGTGAAGAAACCGGAAGAACAACCGGATATCGTGGTTCCTACTCCGGCTCCTACGCAACCAAGTAAACCGGAAGTTTACTTTATCCGTTACAAAACTCAGGTAAAGAAAGCGTTGTATAATTCAACCATTCATTAATTTATTAATTTATTTGGTGTGTAGAAAGAGGAAGGATATCCCGATAGAGTACCAAGCCCTCAATATGGAGCTCCAAATCCCCCATCATCATCTTACGGGGCTCCTTAATTCTCTTAAGGTTGTTATAGGATTACGAAAAAATTGTAAATATTTATATTAAGTATCGAAAATAATCTGAAATTTTTTATCTCATTGTGTATTAACTAAGTATTGAGAGTTAAGTATTAAGAATTAAATATTAAGAGCAAAGATATAAAAAAAACGGTGATAAATGATAGCTTTATACAAATACAAACTTAATGTTTCGTTTAGATTTAATTAGTTAAATTCGTAGCTCGTGTGGTTCTTACATTATTATAATTATTTTTTTAATAAAGTTTGTTTTTAATTTTTTACATAACGTTTTTAAGAACTAAGGATTTCGTTAATCCCAACGAAAAAGTTATATAAGCGAATCTAATTCACACTTTTTATATTCTTGGGTATAGGAGGATCATAAAATATATAACATTTTACGTAACCGGTAGTGATTCTTTATCTGAGAATACTTCACTTTCATTTTAATAAAATAGCGCGTTAAATTGCAATAAATAAATCTTTGAGTATTGTTCCATACTAATTAAAAATCTAATCGGTTTTAGATTATATAATGTTCAAAATGACACCCTGCGACATCAGCACAGTTTCTAGTTCTGCGTTAAAAGAAAACCCACACTATTTCAAACAATTGGCGAAAATCTTTCAGATTGTTCATAGCTGTCGGGTAAATTAAACTTTTTAAATAGCTCCATAAACAAACGTCTACGGATTTGAAATCCCTCGCCCATTTCATCTCCTAAGAAATGTGAAATTGTTTCCAAACAGCAAGATTAAAGTGCGGCGATTTAAACGTAAATCTTCTGAAAGTCCAAGGAGAGTTTCCAGGAAATCAAAGTCTGTATGATCCTATGATAAATAACTAGATGTTTATACTAAATTGCCAACTTGTTTAATTTATAGCCACGCACAAAATAAATCTGATAAACTTAAAGGTACAGTTATTTTCGCTAAACTTGTTGAGATTACAACATACTATATTTTCGGATGAAATACCTTTGTTTTTTTTAAACTTTCTATGCATAACGACCATAGAAAAATTTATACAGTGCGCGTCATATGTACAATTTTTTATGCTAAATTATTTGGGTTAGCAAAAAATAAAAACCGACGTGTTTCGGCTCATGCCGATATATCCATTTTCAAATTAGACAGGGGGAGGGTTACATATGACGTGCACTGTATATATTATACAGAAGGTCATCTCCCCACTATTTTTTGGTACATTGAATTCAGCACTCCCAAGTGCTGGGGATTGTGAGGGAACTAATTAGCTAAAAGCGCGAAATTTAAATAATAATAAGCGTTTTATTGTTTTTAATATTTACAATTTTCCCTTTAATACATTCTACTATATACAGGGTGCCTCAGCGAGACCGGTCATTAGACGTTTCTGGAGTTCTGGCCAAAATAAAAATTTGAGAATTCTGACTTAAGTATAATCAATTACGTTCTCTTCGACTAAAATATTTTCAGATTTCTTGCACTTCCGGTTATACCGGAAGTCGCCACCTACTTTATTTTTTTAAATGGAACACCCTGTATATTTTTACATGGTTGGATTTGTCTATTTTCAAGGTTTATAAATAATTTACTTTTTGCAATTTGATTCGGCCGTTCTCGAGTTATTCGAATTTTCCTAGAGAAAATCTGCTCCAGCGGACATTTGTTCAAAAAATCATAGAACACTCGATTTTTAAGATATCAATTTAGGATTCAGAACATGCTTAAACAACATGATGAAGTATGTTTTGGTGCCGAGAACGGCTATCTAGATCGTTTGGTCACTTTACTATGGCACGTTAACTTTTCGAAATTTTGAAGTACCATAACTTCATTTTTTTAAATGGCACCCCCCATATTTTATTACTTAGTCGTCTTCAGCGTCTCATTTTACATCTTTTATATTCCATATGTCGTATGCCTAACATTAATAGTTTGAGAAATAATTAGGGTTTTTTGAAAAATGCTCACATATCATATCGATATTAACCTAGTGTGCCATGGAAAACAAATGTTTAATGACTTATTGATAAACGTCAAAGTCTAATTTAGGTTGTTTGATGCTTGTGAGTCTAAAACCAGTTAAAATGGATATTAATAACGTAAATAATGTTTATACAAATGAAGAAATCCATAACTTATGTTTTGTGCACGAAAAGTGCGATACAGTTCTTAGTAGAACTTGCAGAATGTTTAATGAAAATTATCCACATTTACCTCCGACGACAAAAGGTAAATTTAGAAGAACAGAAGCAAATTTTTTGCATTTTGGAGGAATTAATCACATGTGAAACTGACCAAAAAATTTAGTAGATAATGCAACGGAAGAGGTGAATACCTTGGCTTATTTCGAGCCCAGTCCCAACACCTCAATTCGAGCTGCCAAAGAAGATCTGGGAATCATACTACGAACTTTGTCGCGCTTTTCATGCATAAAAAATAAATTAAGAATTTCTTGATTTGTCTGTGTAAATATTATTTTCGTTATTGTTATCGATTTTAACTCTTTTCAGTACTAATATTAAGGGATCTAACAGATAATTATTAGCTCACATGCATCAAGTGACGTAAACAAGTGAGTCTTTGACAAGAACTCATTGAGAAGACTTGTTTTTCATGGCACACTAGGCTAAATATCCATATGATATGCGTGCATTTTTCGAAAAACCCTAATTATCTCCCAAACTATCAATGTTAGGCATGGGACATATCGGATTTAAAAGATGTAGAATGAGACACCGAAGACGACTAAGTAATAAAATATGGGGGGTGCCGTTTAAAAAAATGAAGTTATGGTACTTCCAAATTTCGAAAAGTTAACGTGCCATAGTAAAGTGACCAAACGTTCTAGACAGCCATTCTTGGCACCAAAACATACTCCATCATGTTGCTTAAGCATGTTCTGAATCCTAAATTGATATCTCAAAAATCGAGTGTTCTATGATTTTTTGAACAAATGTCTGCTGGAGCAGATTTTTCTAGAAAAATTCGAATAACTCGAGAACGGCCGAATCAAATTGCAAAAAGTAAAGTTATTTATAAACCTTGAAAATAGACAAATCCAACCATGTAAATATATATAGGGTGTTCTATTTAAAAAAATAAAGTAGGTGGCGACTTCTGGTCTGAATTCTCAAATTTTTATTTTCTCCAGAACCCCAGAAATGTCTAATGACCGATCTCGCTGAGACACCAGTATACAGTGTTTCGGTGACTCGGGGAACAAATTTAACCACATATACTAGAGTGAAAATGATGACGATTCATGTAAAAAAAAATTAGTAAAATTCTTCAAATTTCAAAGATACAGGCCATCAAAGTTAGGAAATTTTAACACATTTTTTCAAATATCTTAAACACTATTTACAGTAAAGCGCTGAAATTTGGTACAGTATAAATCAATGTGATGCAAAATCGTTAGGCAATTTATGAGTTGGATCGGTCCGCGGGAACAATGCTATACAGGCTGTTCCTAAAGTTTGTTTGCTCAGAACTTTTTTATTCTATCATAACCCTACATTTATTTTTGCAGTTTCTAATAGTAAATTTAGTTTAGAAACTTTTATTACTCTTAGATAATATTGATAAAAATCATGGTTTTCGTGTTAAATACAAAAATGTTGGGTTCCGACTTCAATAATAGCACTAAAAAAAAGAAATCTAAGTTTTTGAACATTTCCTTTAGTATTTTTTATTACTTGTCTTGTTATTTTATGTACTTTTTTTATTATTCATATTAGTGTTGTCGGTTTTTTGTTTATTCTTTGTTGATTTTTAATTTATTGTTTTTGGATTCTTTTATTAAACCAACTAAAACAAATTAAAAATGTGATTTAGCTAAATCTACACTTGGACATGTTGCATATATAATAGTTATGACAGCTCAGTTCGATTTTCACTTGTCATTGCCAATTCAGATTATTTATTTATTTTTATTTTTAGTGTTACTTAATTCGGAGCCTAACATTTTTGCATTTAATACGAAAACGGTGGAGAATATTGATAAAATATTCTCTAAAAGTGATAAAAGTTTCTAAACTAAATTTACTATTAGAAACTGCAAAAATAAATGTAGGGTTATGATAGAATAAAAAAGTTCTGATCAAACAAACTTTATGACGCCAAATGCGTTAAAAGATTTTAAATCAAAAACAAAAAAAAATTAACGAAATTTTCAACAAGGACAAAACTAGTTTTATCACTCTGAGATGTACGCGAGTCCTCGACCGGCTCAGTGAAGAAGGGAGGGGTATTTATATGGCGCCACACAGTTAACCCCGCATACAACACGAACTGTGACGTGAGATGATGGAGTATGGTGATATAAACAAATAACACAACAAAACATAAATGCTCAACAAAATAGGTTTTGAGCTGCAGACAAAATTTATTAAAAACTCCCGTAAATAACAGGTAAGTAAAAAAAACTAATAACAAAATTATAAAACCGTAAACTTTTAGGTTCAAACAACAAAAAGAAACTACATTGATGTTTGCGAGCTTTAAAAAAAATGAAAGTCAAAACTGAAAGGAAATTTAAATCAAAATACCAAAAAATGAAAATGAAAAATTAAGCCGCGTCTGACTCCGTATGGTTAAGCTCAACGTGAAATCAAAAATTATAAAAAAAAATCAACGCCAAAAATAGAATTAAAAAAAAACTCGCCAAACAAGAATTTACAAAAAAATGAAATGATATTAAAAAAATGAAAAGTTTGATGTTCCAAAGATTAATTAATTTAAAGATTTTCTTAAGGAAAATCAAATAAAAAAAATAAGATACAAATTCTTCAATGACCAAAATAATAGTATGTTGTTCTATCTGACGTTTACTCCAAGTCTTGATCACCGGCCCGATTCGAAATAAATCCCCAGCAACAAATTCTGGTGACTCAGGAAAGGTAAGGTAATATTCTTTGTTTTGTTCCAAAAAAAAAATAATTAGAAACCTTAGGATGTAATGGAAATTATACCCTTGGACAATGGTTCCAAAATACCAATAAAAAAAGTTGTTCCAATAAGAGATGCCAAAAGTTGCTCCCCTCAATAAAAACCTGGATATAGAATATAAAAAAAATGAAACGTGGAAATATTAGATTTAAGAATTTTTGTTTGTAGGATAGTTTTTCTTTTTAAGTAGTTAGTAATTTTTTTTTAAGTAGATAGAAAATTTTTTTTTTTAAGTAGTTAGAAATTTTTTTTTTTAAAGTAGTTAGATTTTCTTTTGAATGATAGATTTAGTAGATTGTTAGTTTAAGAATCAAAAGAAAAATATAAAAAGGTGAACGAATATGCCAAAAACTAATTAATAAAGACCTTACAAAAATGCTTACCTCTGATGTTCGAGGTTTAACCAGAAAACAGAAGAAAATGTAATGAAATACATAAAAATAAAAAAAAATAAAAATACGTTGAAATCCGGAATCTCCGTACAATTTGGTAAAAGAAAAACACTTTTCCAAAACTTTATTTCGAGTGATGAATCCCACAAATATGGATTAGAAACAAAATTTTACGCCAAAACCAAAAATGGCGAACCAACCAAAATTTCTTTAACACTCGAGAACACGTATTGCTCTGGTAATATAGTAAGAAAGAGAGGCNCCGATTTCGATGTAATTTGCTTAACGGAAACTTGGCTCCACCCCGGTATTTTTTCGGCCGAAACTCTCCCAAGTTCGTACACGGTTTATAGACGTGACCGAGTATCTGCTACTGTCGATTCCACTACCCGAGATGGCGGAGTACTCATAGGCGTTTCGAGCTCACTTTATAGTGATTGGTTTTCGGGGGTGGAGGCAGTTTGCGTGACGCTACACTTCGGCGTGGCTATGTTTGTTGTATCTATATTTCGCCCAATGACGCTGCTGCTTTGTCTGCTTTTTCAGATAATTTGATGAATATTATCGATTAGCATCGCAATGATAAATTCATTATCTGTGGCGATTTCAACTTACCCGAGATTCGCTGGAGTAGAGATGATTCTTTGATTTCTCTTGTTCCTCACTGCAGTGGGTCTCGGACCGTGAATTGTCTGGATGCTGTGTCATTGGGTGAGTTGGATCAACATAACCATTTTACAAATGCTTATGGGCATACGCTCGATCTAGTATTTAGTCGCCTCGTAATGTTAACGAAGCTCGAAAGATGTGATAATCCTCTGATGTTCGAGGATACTGCTCACTCCACTCTTGAATTCTGTTGTGATGTGCCCCGAGAGAACAACCTTAATCCGCGCTCTGGCGTTGCTTACAATTTCTCTAGAGCTTCTTATGACGAAATCAATGGTTACCTCGACAGTTTAAACTGGTCTAACATTTATGACGCCAAATGCGTTAAAAGATTTTAAATCAAAACAAAAAAACGTAATTTTCAATCAGGACAAAACTAGTTTTATCACCCTAAGATGTACGCGAGTCCTCGACCGGCTCAGTGAAGAAGGGAGGGGTATTTATATGGCGCCACACAGTTAACCCCGCGTACAACACGAACTGTGACGTGAGATGATGGAGTATGGTGATATAAACAAATAACACAACAAAACATAAACGCTCAACAAAATAGGTTTTGAGTTGCAGACAAAATTTATTAAAACTCCCGTAAATAACAGGTAAGTAAAAAAAA